CGGGAAGATCGATTGGATGGCAGATTCCGGCGGAAAGTTGCACGTATCACGATTGATCCAATTCTATATCTGGATCGTCATATTTAAGTACTCAAATATTTCTCAACGCTCGTATAGATATTCGTTCTCATAAAATTTATGATTTAATTTAAATTTTCCATTAATAAAAAAAAAATTTTAAGACAGCTCTTCAATTGTTAAGTGCATGATCACAGCTAATCTCATAAAAATACAACTTTTTATGTTTATCGAAAGCTATAACTTTTTATGTTTTTGTTCTTTTAAAAATTTCTAATGAAAGAGGGAAAAAAAGAGAGAAAGAGAAGTCACTCAAAGTCGCTTTCATAACTCAAGTTTGCTTCCTTCTTTTTTATTTCACGTGATTTCAAAACTTTCACATTTCTCTCAGAATACTAACGCTATTTGAATAGACTACCGGTGCATCATTTTTATAAAGACGAAATCCTTCTAGAAATCCCATGCGATTCTCTCAATAGACAGCTGTCTGTTCGTCACTAGACACCCGCTGGATTGTTGTGACTCGTTCTTTGACGAACATGACATCTAATATCCGAAAATTCTGTTTAAGACGTGACATCTAGGTATTCTGAACAATTACCAGTGGACACTCTTCAAATATAATCTTAGACAGTCAACAGAAGTCAAGTTTACTGCGTTTTTCAAAAACTAAATAATTCTCGATGAACAGATATAAGCAGACATTTTAGGTTTTCAAGCAATTTCACTAAACACCATTGAAAAATTTTCTAATTTCTTTCAACTACGTCACTACAAAACATCGCGTAATATCTTTTAAAAATCGCTTTAGACAATTTATAATTCGCAACAGAATTTATCGTAAAATTCTATTTATAATTTTATGCGCCGTGTAATACAAAAATATTTTAAAATAAAGATACATACATATACAAAAGATATTTATCAATAATATGTTTTATATATGTTTATTTTATATATGTTATTTTGATGTTTTTAAAATATTTTCCATTGCATAAAATTGTAAATAGATTTCTAGCTTGAATTCTGTCACGTAAGGCTCTTATAGAACGAATATGTTTGACTAATATTGTACTGACTACCTAAATAAGAATTAGTTTCGATTACAAGTAAACAATACTGTCAAGAAAGCAGAGGAGTTTCAACACAAAAAAAGGATACTTTAGAAGGCGATGGATTATTGCGGCTTGCAGATAAAAGCCAGGATTGTAACAGAACGACTATAGCTCAGCATGACAATGCAGGTGCCTCATCCCACGTCAAATCGCAGCGTGGCGCCGTACGGAAAGACGGGTACTGAACCGATTGAGAAGACTATATAATTGTTTAACAGGATTAACCCCAGGCGAAGTTTACGCCTGTCTGTAAAGAAGGGTGCTGATATTTATCCAACATTAGACGAGGCTAAACTCAAATCCATTTAATCCTTGCAAATTTTGTTAAAATATGTTCCCTAAGCATTTATCCAAGCAAATAATGAACTTGATCAACGAAAAATAACCGGTTTTGTATCGATATCCTAATTTATCGCATTATCTTATTATATCAATAGAAATCTTGGTAAATAAAGAATCAACTTTGTGCTAAATTACCTAAATTTTTTATATACAAGGTAATTTATTTTCTGATAAAGTAAACACAAAAGAAAAAAAATATTTAAATTTAAATTTAAAAAAAAAGAAAGAGAATCATATTTTTCGTTTAAATTCAAGTGCACATTTTAAACTAAAGTTTAATTAATAAGAATTGCTAATACTAGAAACAGACTGCAGCATATATTTTCTCGAAAATTGTTCTAAATGCAAGACGATATTAAATACATAACAATGTTACATGTATTGATGTATTGTATTGATGATAACAATGTTAAACTTGAAGGGATAACGATCCTGAGATATTCTGTACCTATTTATACCTACTTGTTTATGCCAATATGATCTCGATTGTAAGAATGAAGCGATACATCCCGAATTTAAAAGTACGAAAAGTCTGAATTAAGTTGCGATAAAGATAAGGTATGTAACTGCGCGTTCGGGTGAAAAAGATTAGCCGACAGCGAGAATCAGAACTATCAGACGTCACTGCGGCTCGATCAAGATGAAGATTCCCCGGGCTGATGTACGGAACAGGACGGATGTCGCGGGTGGCCGCAGGTGGTGCTCGATATAAGCTCTTCTGACTGAACTGCTGATACGGAACCATGCTTCTAAAACTCTCACGGTGGAATGTGTCATCCTGTCACTGCGCTCTCGCATGGGGTAGGAGATATCCCATGGGCCGTCACGCGTCCTTCGGACGAGCGAGCTCTTGTCACTTTTCTCAGATCCCCTTGCTGCCAAAAATGTTCACGACTCGCTCATTAAACAATAATCAAAACGATATTCCTCCGACAATCGATATAATCATATTAACATACTAAATACAGCTGCATTCTTAATCATATTTTCTTAATATTAAACTTTAGTTTAAAATTTGCACTCGGCCGCTTGTATTGCATTTTATGGTATTTATCTAATGTCTATTGTTGCTCAGTAGAAATATTGGAAAAGCTTATTATCCAGATAGCCGATATTACTAACATTTTACTGAGTATTTAATGCAATTTTTGCAATTGTGAAATATTTATATAATCAATTATTCGATTTGATCGCATCGTATCGTATTGTTAATTTAGTACAATTAATGATAAAAGAAATACGTGTTGCGTTAATGATAAAAGAACTTGTGTTATGCGTTTTATCCTTTCGAATCTTAAATCTGAGAGAAAACTTTGCACAAGAAGTCTCTTACATCCATTCTCTAACTACATAAACGCTTTGATGCAGTAATTTAAGCAAAAATCAACCCTAAATCGACTAAGAAAATTGTTACTAAATATAATCATTGAAATAAAATAATTTTAATACGTAAACAAGACTTGAAGAGAAATTATTATTTGCAAAAATATTTCTTACTGCATATTAATTATACATAAAGCTATTATATTATGTTCTTTTACTTTACAGTTAATATTTTACAGCTTTTTTTTATAATCTTCTATTTAAACAATTCAAACAATAATAAACAATTTAATTTAACTTTATGGACACATAGCCCGTAATAAATAATATATTAATACAAAACAATATAACGTCTGTAAAAAAATATATTCGCTCTCACACAAGTTAAAAGTCTTTACGAATTTAAAGAAACCTTTAACAATTTTCAGGGACATAGCATCGAATGTGACCTAGTCCTTCGTTATACCTTTAGAAGTAGTATATTGTCATGTTAGGGTCTCGACGACGTGAAGATGATGAATATCCCAGCAGTCTGAAGAGTCACAAATTGTTTCGTGCGTCGCGCGCCTGTGTAACCGAAATATCTTTCTTATTTATTAGCGTGACACAGCTACCAAATTAAATTATCTATCTCCACTTTTTTTGGACAATGTAATAATACCTATACAAAAACTATTTGCAAATAAACTTTACTTCATCTATTTTGCATTTATGATATAAGTTTAGTTGTTCAAAATCATATTTCTAAAAATATAATTTATAAAATGGTAGTAAAATCCTGAATATCGAGAAAATCAGCTCTTTAACATAGAAAATAATATCAGTATGTAAAATCAGTTAAAGCTGTGAGACGTGATTGTGCGATATGTTGTAACATTTCAAAAAATTGTAAACAAGCAACCATTTTATACTTTTATAGTTTTAAAAAGCCTTATACCGTATATTGATATTATTTTCTGCTCATTGAACAGCAATCCAGTTTCCAACATTGACTAATAAAATCAAGTAAATCATATGTATACGAGCTATAATTAAACCATCAACTGTCGAGTTATAATAAAAACGTAGGATGTTGGTACCTTGGTACCTCGAGGCGAGCGAGACACGCAAGTATATAGAAGGACCCGTCAAGAGCGGGGAAGGCAAAAAAGGCAGAAGGCACAAAACAACCTATCCTGGATAGAAGGGCGGAGGTTGCTTGCCTCCGGATAGCATAGAAGGTGGGTACCGAGATATAATACCCGACTCCTACCCGCGACGATAAGTGTCAACTGCAGCGTGCCAGATAAAAAGAAGGAACGAAAAATAAAATTCACACTGGTGATCCATCATGAGGTAGTGGACTCGGGGCGCGCAGACTCACCCACGATTGGCTGGCACCGCCCAATTTCCATCACGTGACTACCTTTACGAGCCGCCTACCGATAATGGAGACTTCCCCCTGAAACTAATATCACGCAGCGCAATGCCGCCACTCCACGTCTGGGTGGTACGCACGAGTAAGAGAGAGAAGGAAAACTCGAACACGCCAGACCGCTGCGGGTCAGTCTCACCTGTGTGTAGCTTTCCGCTACACTAGTCCACCTAACCAGTCCACTCCAGCGACCCATGTCGGACGGATCGACTGCACGAATGCTCGCATGGATTTTCGCGGACAATAATTAACGTTCCGTAATGCCTGTGGATTCTGATTACTCGCTGAAAACCATCGGAGTATATCAAATTCGAATTGAAGTATACAAATCTCGAATTTGAATCTTGGACATTTACTGCAAAATTATAAAAATCTGTAAAATTGACATACGTCTTCTTCAACGTTTCAGTGCATAATTGTGAAACTGTTTTTAATTGAAAATTTAATACTTGATTGCATCTGTGATTTCACATTTGTTTCACAACGTAAACTTTTTTATTTTGTGCAAAACTCTTTTTTTGCGGTGTCATCAAGTACTGATTAATGTTGTGCTTGTCGCGAATTTGTTTGGCGAGATAAATTTAAATGTTCACCGTTCTGTGTTGTTTGCATAAAACAAAAAAATCGTAAATTTATATACATAATGTTGAAGTAATTAATCAAGAAAATAGTATACGACTCTCGTCATGATGTAAATCATCTCTCTTATTCGCTTTGCTCTCCGGACACTACGCATCGGAGTTACTGAAACAGTGGGTGGTCAATTGATTCGTCTCTCCGTTACGAGGATGATGATGATGGACATGGGCATGTACGGGACCTACGGCAAACCAGACTCATATCCTAACTACGTGTTCTCGGGTCAAGGAAATCATCATCATCATCATCACCACCATCACCAGTCTTCATCCGTCGGCAGTCACGTGTCAGTGCCACCTTCCGCAGAAGTAGCTCCAACTCATTATTACCCCCAGACTGCAGTGGCGCCATATTCTTCGTCATCCTCCGAGAGCTTCCTAACCGCCGACTCGGGCGCGTCATCCAGTACGCCGCCTCAAGGCTTCTATTCTCCGACGGGTGCCGTTCTCCACGAGAATGGTTCTACCACCCCGATAATTTCCTCGGAAAATGGCCTGAGCTACACCAACCTGGATTACGCGTCATCTTCATCGTATCCGAATCAACAGCAACACGCGGTAACGTCGGTGGACCCGCATCAGAGCTATCACATTCAACAGCCTGCTTACCGAGAGGATCATCACCATCACCATCATCATCCGCCCACTGGCAGCAACCTCCATCAGACCACGGTACCTCAAACTAGTCATCCAAGAACGGAGCACGATCAGCAACTTCATCATCAATCTTCTAGTCATCACCATCACCATCATCATCACGACCCTGAATACCAAATAGCAGTCGGCGGAACTTCGAACTATCTCCATCAACTACCTTCGGAAGAATCTTTGCACTACCAGACGCAGATTCCGCAGAGCGAATTCTCCGCGCATCCGCCGGGACATTACAAGGAAGAAAATTCGGATGCAGCGACCTATCACGTTTTGCAACAGTCCGGTCACCTCCAGCATCCCCATCAGCACGGGCATCATCATCATCAGCAGCACTCACACGCGCACCATCAGCAGCAACAACAACAACAACAGACTCAAGTGCCCACCTACAAGTGGATGCAAGTCAAGAGAAACGTGCCCAAGCCAATCGGTAAGTGCATCCACACTTCAGTTTAAATTTCCAGTCAAGTCGACGCCTATGCGCAGCGAACAAACTAGCGTGAAATTAGGTATTCTGTGGGTGCGATCCGGTAGCCACTCGTTAAACCTCGTTCATCGCTTGATTAGCTAGGTAGTATAAAGATGCAGAATCACGGTTGTCTATCTTACACGACCCCGTTATTCGAAAAGTTACCATTACCGCGCGTGCCTTCGTTTTTAGAGTTACATATACTATCGTAAAAATTCAATTAAAGTTAGATATATGCGCAGAAATTATCTCTATAGCAAACCTCGAATCATATATCAAGAATCATATTTACATTTTCATTCTAGTTGCTAATATCAAAAAGATCTCCTTAAAATAATTATTTTTAAAATATGCTTTCTATAATCTTCTTTAAAATGTATAATTATAATTTGAATTTCTATCATTTCTAATTATTAGGGCGCGGATGTTCGTGCATTCAGATGAATTGACAATCGGGTTTTCTCGAGAAATGCTACCTCAGCGAGTACTCGACTCACTCGCACGCAGCGGTTCTCTGCGCGCGACACGGGATCGTGCACGAACATCCGCGCCTTACTAATTATGTATCACTCCGTTTTATGTTTAAACATCTACCAGTTTTACATAAAGTAATTAATATTATATTTTTACAAAATTTCGAAATGCACTAAGCAATCTGTAATTAGCATTTTTAAAGTTAATAAAAAAATATTTATCCGTTCATTGCTAACAAAGCAATCTTAATTCTTGGAAGCATAAATTGATTCAATCGCGCTTCATTGAAAACACTTTACATACATTCAGCACGTCAAAGTAGTACTAGAATAACACTTGATCAAATATCAACAATTTTTATGAAGATGGTCTTCAATTAAGATTGACAAACAAGCGGATAGATTGTCAAAAATAAAATGTAACTCGGTAAGCTAAGTCAACCACTTTCAAACAATTTGTATGTAGAAAAATTAATAAAGTGCAATACGTAATTACGATTGCTATAATTATTAATCATGTGCGTATATTATCCAATAATTTCAATCTTATAAGAATATCATTAATAATTCTTAACATTCTTAGTTTACAATTTACTATCACATATTTATCAATTTTTTTTTATCTTATCAGAACAGCTATAATGCATTTATTCGAAAACATTTTCATCTAAAATTATTTCATTTTTTTCAATTGTTCTATTATAGATTTTCGGATAAATACTATCAGATTTCAGAATGATTTCAATACTTCATGAACAATTGTAATAGAAATAAATATTGAAAAAATTTTAAGATTGCTCTTATACTTTCAATAATTTGTGAAAAATAACTTGAAAATAATTTCATGTCACAATAATCTTTTTATTGCAATTGCGTATATTATTTTTTTTTGCTATAAGTCAATTCCGACTATATTCTGTTTTCAACGAAATTCATAATAGTTTAAAGACACGGCCGAAGTCGCAATCAAAAACTTGGCGATAGAAAATCGATAAAAAATTCGCATTTTCGATCGCAAACGTAAAAATTACATAACTGTTCTGAAGTCTTTAACACATTTACATCTTTTTAACGTGACATTTAAATCTTTTAACTAAAAAGCTAAATTAGTCAATGCATTAAATTTATCAAAATAATATTTCTCTTTTGTCAGATGTAAAATTAGACGTTAAATCTATTATTGAATATGATTTTCTTTTTATCGTAGATACAATCGTAATAAATAAACAATAAATAAATTTATAAAAATAGATTTGTATTATTATTCATGAAGTTCACGTTAAATCAAAGAATGAACGATGCTTTCAAAGACAATGATGTGTATATATGCAACGGAAACTTACCGCAGAACACAAAACACATCTTACCTCACAATTTGATTTTTGTTCACGATATGAATGTTATAAATTCAATAGATAAGATTATATACACGTGCGAGAAAAAATCTAAAAGTAAAAAATTATTTTCGACAAATTTGAAATTACAAAAAATGTCTTAACTTTTCCTAGTAAAAAACGCGTAATAAAAAAACATTCAATATATTTATAAAATATTTTTCCACTACTATTATAATTTAACTTAAAGTGTAAAAAAATTTACTTGTGAAATCAAAATGTTCATGATTGTATATGAATTAGAAATATTTATCTACATTTAAATTTTACATAAATTTATATAGCAAAAATTTGCAGTGAATATAATGAATATAATCCAATACAAATTTATATTTTAGCAATGTTATATCAAATAATATCAATATGTCGTCGAGAGATAAGATTTGAGTCGCATCAAACTGACAAAAATTTTTCATACTCGTATGGTATGTGATAAGCGGATTATTTACAAGCATATTTATAAATACCGAGAATCTGCAGTTACGATTACAATCTTCACGTGTATAAACATGACGTATTGAATTTAGATTGTACAATATAGTAGCGGAAACATTAACAGATTACGATAAGATTTGTGATTAAGTAAAACCGTCTTACTCCTGAAATTATCAGATTAATTTCAGACACTGATAAGATAATTCATTTATTAAGCAAGAATAATTACACGTGAAAAAAATTGTAATATATTGCTTGTGAAGAAAACATGCTTGTTTTTTTCCTTGTTTATTACAGTATAAACATTTTATCATCTATTTTGTGGAAGTAGTAGACTGTAACTGTCTCACAGATATTAATTTGATTATTATTATTAACTTAGCTAACATCGTTCATTCTTTATAGAAAATATATAATAAATAATAAATTTTAATAATTAATATATATATATATATATGTATTATAGCAGAAAAAAAAGATAAATTCTCGTACTAACAAAAATGCCTGTGTACTGTGTTGATATCGAGTTAATGACCATGAAAATGACGTAGCGTGGCTCATTGAAAATAATGCCTAAAAAGGCCGGAACAGTTCCCCTAACTTCACACTAATTTGCTTAACGGCCACGGCTCCCCGCAATCTTCTAGCTCAGAGAGTGAGTGTGAGCTTAGTCGTCGGATGGAGCTTGTCGGGATTACCAGCGTTTCACTTAATAGCTCATTATAATCAAATTAATAACGCCATCATAGGCACTAAAGGGACTGACGTTTATTGCAGCGAAACATGCAAACCGAAATGAAACTTTGTCGCCCCCGTGTTTAACCCCTTTCGTTTTTACTCCTGTCATCTTGATATTTTTAATACATTGCATACAATTCAATCTTCTTCAGCAAATCTTTTGTAATTAAAAAAATTTTTTTAAATGCTGACACACAAGCTTAATTTGTGATAATATATTAAATGGATAAAAATTTCAGAATATTTTATAATTATGAATTTTATCAATTACCACACATTTACCTATATCTTAGATAATAATATAATTATATAATTAATTAATAATACATATATAGTTTTCTTGCAGCAAGTATCTAATGCTTAAATGAAATAATATTAAATTCTAGAGATGCCAATAGAATTAACAATTAATAAACCATAAAATATCCCAATAACACAAAATCGTGTATTCGAATAGATCGTGTACATCATAATAGCGTCAGCATTACTACACAAAAGCGAGAATTATTTTTAACAAAATGTGAGACAATTAATCGAAAGCAATTACATTTAGAGGCCGGCTGAGAAGATACAGCACGCAACGAATACGTTACAACGAGAAAAATTCGAGGAAAATAACGAGATGGGCGGAGCACAGTAGAGGGGCGATTTCGGTAGATTTTGGTTGGTTAACTTTTTTGGTTGGCCGAGGTCTTACAATAGCATTTCTTTTTCCTTCCATGCCTCTATAACATGCTTCAGGGGGTCCAGAATAGAGGGTTTCTGTGGGGACGTGCCCGGTGCGGACCACCCTTAGTCAAGATTGGAGCGAGACAGGAGACGGAAAGAGACCGTCGTGATGCTGTCAACCCGCCCAATCTATCATACTAAACTCGATTTCTTCTCTCTATACTCAATAGCGAGATTGGCAATACCGTGCAGGGAAAAAACGAGACAAACGAACGTCCCCTCGTAACACAACAGTAATAATTCCATATCTTCGTCATAATAAAAAAAAATAAAGAATTTTCTATACGTTCAAAATATTATATATAACACATTTATATATGTAATACAATGTTTTAAGCTACCATAAAACTTCGACTACAAATATTTGTATAAATGATCGCAGTGAAAGATATCATCAAAGATTATCATCAATGAAAGATAAGACTTTTCTATATCGTGCTCAGTAACATGACAACTAATATAACATTTACATAGATAAGCAGGATTCAACTCGTAAATATTACATCACAGTGTATAGTTTATATCTATAAATTACTTACTGAAATACGCGTGTATAAAAGTTTTAAAATAATGATTACTTTACTCAAAGATGACAAAAAATACATAAACGCGCACAAATGTTTTTAAAACTACGAAAAATCAAATCGTAATAATACAATATCCAAAAAAAATACAAGTAGCTTGTTAAAATTTTATGAATCCCATCTTTCATTGAAGCAAAATTTAATTCTCATTGACTAAAATCTTTTTTTCTTCAAGATTAAATCCAAAACATAACAAAAAATAATTTTTTATGTTCCAGATAATAAATTATTAAGTTCAATAGATTATTCGAGTCGACAAAATAAATATTAGCGCATGAAGTATCTTTTAGATACTGTCACAAGTAACTACACAGTGTAAAACCAGATAAAAATACACAGATAAAAATATTCACGTCTATGTTTGCTGATAGTAAATATATAATAAATAATATTTAGGCGCCGCTTAATCGAGGATTTTCCACGTACGATATTCCCCTGTTTCCTCGAAGACTCTCTCTCTCTCTTTCTATCACCTTTTGGGCTGACTTAAAATATGCATGTTGTTATCGACGCTCTGACCGAATATATGCAGGGGCGGCATTAACGACGTAGCTCGAAGAATAAAACTCACGGGCAGCTCGTTGGCCTTCTTACGTTTTATTCACAAG